AGAGAGAGAGCGAGAGACAGAGAGAGGGAGAGACAGTCAAACAGAGGGAAAGGGTGTGTGTGTGTGTGTGTGTGTGCAAGCATGCATGTATGTATACGTGTATGTATGTATGTATGTATGTATGTATGTATGTATGCATGTACATAAGGTGACGTTTTAACACCATCCGAGACATGTTTACTGACTCTTGGCATTTCTGATTTCTTGCCGGAGGCCTTGCAGTCCCCAATTGTGAATATTTCAGTGAATCTAGGGGGACCCTGCAGACCGGAGAGTGAAGTCGTCTATGTCTGTACCAAGTTTGTCCACGCCCACGCCCAAATTGGCAGCTATCACTGTCGCATACTGTCGCTGTAGGTTCATGCAAACTTGTGATGGCCGTATTTCTGTTCATTGTTAGGACTTGACTTGGTGTCTTCTGTTGAGCCTGCAGGGCTTGCGGTGCAGGACTTCAAGGTGCAACGCGTCGTGCTTGGTTCGCCACGCCCAGGCCCTGCCGGCTGGAATGCGACAGTTCGTGCCGACAGAGGAGTGGCAGGAGGCGGCCACCCTGCGTTATTATGCTGGGGCTTCCGCTGTTGCAACAACGCCGTCATGATCGAAAAGTTGGCCTGAAGACCATGCAAGAACATGTGATACGTATGTGTGTGTATATATATACACACAGGAAGCGTCGTGTATTTGCATGTATATAGTCTAGTGTTTTGTTTCTTTCTTTCTTTGTTCGTGTGTTTGTGTGGTTGTTTGTTTATTCCTTATTATGTAAACATATGCTCATTCGCTCATTTCGGGCACGGAGTCCATGTTCGGGCGCAGCCCCTGTGGCATGCACCTACTTAAACTTGCTGGCTGTAAAATCTGGGCTTCACAGGATGAAAAATCACGTACAAGGTGTAACCCAGTTTGCACTCAGCATGTGGGAATGGCGGAGGGGATATAACCGGCACAGCAAGAAAAACCGTCTTTTCAACAGCTTTCAAACTCGGCCCTAGTAAACATATGTATATATAGACTTACCTGTACGAATATACATGTATTTGTAAGTATATGTGAATACATACACACGTTGTCACATTGGTTTTTCGACGGTGACTCAGGTCTGTATTGTTGACTGCAATTCAGGACTTTCGCGGAAAAAGCTGGCAGGCCGAGTTTACGCATTTCACCCGAAGGATTTCGTCTAATTAAAATTGTGGCAGAGCCAATTTTCTGACACCGGTATGCTCCAAACAGTTGACTGACTGCCAGAGTCAATAACTCGCTCGCTCAACAACTCACTCGCTAGCTCGCTCACTCGCCTTTACGCTCACTCACTCACTCACTCACTCACTCACTCACTCACTCACTCTGTTAAATGACACCTCCCTAATGTGACCCTAATGTTCACGA